AAATTTGTTAGTCTCTAAGGTGCCACAAGTACTCCTGTTCTTTTTGCGGATACAGACTAACACGGCTGCTACTCTGAAACCTTAATTCTGGCATTTCCTAACTGTTGAGTGCTTGATTTTGTAACCTTATTGCTCTTTTAATGTAATTTTGGTGTGTATTTATATTTATCACCAAGGCCAGCAGAGTAATCTAGTGAGAGGAAGTCAATATCTGGGAAAGGTCATGATATCTTTTGGGGACATTGCTAAATGTGGGGGAAAGCATCACCAGAGAATGCAACAATGCAAAACTCTCTCACCCATTGCCCTTGCAGTGTTGGTATCCTCTGTGAAGGAATTTTTGGATATGGAGAATTTCCACCCTCAGTCCCTGGAAAACCGTAATCTTGCTGCTTCAACCTCTTAATTAGTGTCTCCCCTTCCACTGAGTCAATTACAATCTCTTTGTTTTAGTCACCAGCACAGAAAACTGTAACAGGTTCGGTTGCTTAATAGAAGATTTTTTCCCCCCCAGAATGACTCAAAGTATGATAAAGATTTATCCAAGGGGAAAGAGGGCTTTCTGTGGCAGGAAACTGGGAACTTCTGCTAAGGATTCTGTTTTGACTTCTGCCAATAACTCAGGCTATGTCAACAGCTGGAGCTGGGGTTTGATTCCTAGCTTGCATAGGCATACTCATGTTAGCTTTGATGTGAGCCTGCATGCTAAAAATAGTGGTGTAGCCATGGCAGCATAGGTAGCAGCAGCAGTGGCAGGTGCTATCCGCTCTCAGTATGTACCATAGGCTTCAAGTGGGTTTTTACTCAGGGTGGCTTGCATCGTACCACCACTGCCCATGCTACTATGGCTACCCTACTGTTTTTAGCATGCTAGCTCAGATGAGAAATAGTGTGGATATATCTACATGAGCTGGGAATCCTACCTCTAGCTCATAGTGTAGACGGAGCCTCTTTGTGCCTCTATTTGTGGACCTTTAAAATGGATATAATTGTCTGCCTTTCAGGAGTGTTGAGGTTTTTAATTCTTGTTTGACAAGTGTTTTGAGATCTTTATGTTCCACAAACACTTGTACTGTAATGGATCGCATTGTTTTGAATACTGCCACAATCATAACTGCTCTTCTGTACTGTTAGCCATGACTGATAGACAGTTAGGACATAGATAATTATAAAATTTCAAGGTTCATAGGCTCATGCAGTTTAGAGATCCCAGTGCCGTAAAATCCATTCAGGTCAGGGTGTAATCCCTGGATAAAATACATCCATATTAGAATGATTTTGTATTTGTCTGGTGGTCGGCAAATAAGGCTATGTTTATCTCAAGCACTTAAGAATTAGATTTCACAAAACAAATATTCAAATAGGAGGGTCAAGTGCTTTTAATGTTTGCTTTAGATTTCTAGCTTTTTAAATAGAGACAGAATGTGGGCATATTTTGCATTATTTTTCCCTCCATTGCATCATGTGTTTCTATTTCAGTGGTCAAGGTCAAATGTTTCTTTTAAGAAAAAGAAAACACTACCGAGGGATTTATTTTGCTGACATCCATTTTAAAGTTCAGCTTGACTTCAAAATACAACCCTTCTGGCTTCGGAAATGCACTTACTCTGTGACTAAAGACAGTGTGTGATTAATTCTGCTGTGCAATGCTGTATGTTAATTGCTGGCACTGTGTGAACTGGTGGCTTAAGCAGAAATAGAAATTCTTATTACAGGTGTGTTGCTTACAATGCATAGTGTAAGTTGGTACTTTCAACTAAAAATGGCTTTTAAATCCTGTTCTCTGCTGTCAATCTCCATGAATCATTTTAATGTAAATTAAAAATGCAACTCTCTGGGAAAGAACATAACTTGAAAGCTTAGGGCACACTGCATTTCTCACATTTGTTATGCATCTGAAGGCTATGAATTAGTAGTTAAGTGGCCCTATGAATTGATGTACTTGAGTCCTTTCTAGTGCCCATATCAGCGCATATCCCCAAATTAGCTCAATATGACTCTACTTCATTTCTTATTCTAATGAACCACCATTTGGCCACCTAGTGTGTACCTTGTTCCAGCCTAGTTCTGAAAATTGGGTTCATTGTGTTGCCCTCCACTTGTGCTACTAGTTCTCTGTGTTTCTTGAAGTTTCCTATTAATTTCATCCAGGTGTTGTATCTGCAGTGGCTATAAAAGATCTCAAATGAAGTTAAATGACTAAACTTGCAGTTGGTTTATCTTCTTTCTCCAGGGGATTAGCTCACATATTCCATTAGGTTTCCCTGTGGAAATAGACTCTACAGAATAGACTCTAAGATGGATATTCCCTTAACTATCTAGCTTTCCAATTCCATTACTCTTCTGTATGAATACAATGGTTTCCTTTAAAATCATTATATAACTAGCAGCCTCAAATTTTATTTCCACATAATTGTCAAGGAGATGCCCGGAACACCTGTCTTTGCATTTGGCTATTAAACTTCTGTTACTTTACTCCAGGCACTAAATTTGAATAGCTTAATTTAATTTTTGCATTGTCAGTTGCTAAGCAACTGACAAGAGAAAAAAGTGCAGCTAATTTAGTTCATTTACTGATCAATTAGCATCTCATTAATATAGAAACTTATTTGTAACATGGCTAATCAGCTGTCAAACCCAGTTTTTGCAAGGCAAAATGTTTTCTAAACAGTGTCTAGGAAATTAGTAAAAGATACTTCTCCTGTATGATCCACAAGTTTCTTGCTTTGGTGCCCAGGTACCAGTGCTTCACTAGGAATGTTACACTCGGAATATCTAGACTGACACTTTTTTCCATGGCGTGGTCAAGAAGACAAGGCAGGGGACCGAGTCTACTTAGCTCTACTGCTGACGTGCTGTGTGACCTTGGAAATGTCATTTTACTTGTCTTTTTGCTTCAGTTGCCCGAGCTGTGCAGTATGGATAATTAAACTTATCCACCGTTGGAAAGCATTTTTTGATCCAAGATCAAAAGTCCTGTTACGGAGAGGAGGTGTTATTATTGTGAATGTTTAAATAAATATGTTGATTCTGAAGACTTGTCTGCCTATTTGCATTGGAAAAGTTTGAGAAATTTTACCTAGCTGAACCCAGGGCCGGCTCCAGGCACCAAGCACCCAAGCTGGTGCTTGGGGCGGCACCTGGAGGGGGGCGGCAGCGCGGCGCCCCCGGCGGCGGGGGGGGGGAGAGCCGAGCCCCAACTGGGGCTCGCTGCCCTGCCCCCGGCGCTCTGGCCGCCGGGGGGAGGGGGGGGCGGCCGGAGGCTTTTTCGCCTGGGGCGGCGAAAAAGCCAGAGCCGGCCCTGGCTGAACCACTGACTGAAATTCCCCTTTTCGCATGGTAGCATTTTTGGCAGGAATTGGTTAAGTTTCAGCTTTCTCTGGTCTTGCTTTACAAGTCTGGCAGCACCATTTTTATTTTTTATTTTTTAAACTATTCATGGGGCAACATTGCTGTCACCCAAAAAAGCATCGCGGTCTGAGATTTAGAGCTTTCCTGGAATCTGTTTTGTAAACCTTTCCCTGTAGCTGACATGTTTGGACAATATTAAAAGTTAAAGGGGGAAAAATGGATAATTCTGAATGGCTAAAGCAGTCTCTCTATTTATTTCCTATATTTTTGTAGATTGCCTGTTTAAGCTATGCCCTATGAACCGGTACTCTGCGCAGAAGCAGTTCTGGAAAGCAGCAAAACCAGGAGCTAACAGCACTACAGATGCAGTGCTACTCAATAAACTACATGTAAGTATTAACGTTGGTAGGCTGCAGTGAAGTCAATGGAGCTATGGTAACTTACACCACCCGAGGATCTGGCCCATTAAGTTGAGTGGGACTGCTCATGTGGGTATTGCTACAGAAGATTAATGAGATCCAGTCCCCTGTGTTGTTAGGCCCCAGATTTCATCTCCCATATGTGTTTTCAAACTTTTATCTAATTTAATTATCTGTGATGGCTGCCCTTACTGAAACAAGCTTGCATGTGTATTCAGCAGTTAAAACCTGGTAAAAGAACAGTTTTCAGTTTTAAATTTCTAAGAAATTGCTTTGAGTAATTTAACTACTTGTATGTAGACAGCATCCGCTTTAGTGCTAAATAAACTATATTTACCTTAAAATTATATGGCTGGAGCACTTCACGTTAAAATTACAAGTCCAAATATTTTTAGTTTGTCAAAGCCCGTGTTAAGCCTACAGTACTCTAAACTATAAAGCACCCCTGTAGGAAAATATCACTTGCAGAAAGCCATGTGTTGGCCCTACTCCTTTGTTGCACAAAGACCAAGTGTTTGCCTCAATTTTTTCTTAAAGCTATGATTTTAACTTTATACTTGTAAAGTTGTTTGTAGAGTTAATACTTTACAAGTATCCCACCCCACTCCCAAACTAAATAATCACAAGAGTAGAAGTCAGCTGTAAGTATAAAGTAACAAATGCTGCTGATTATTTTTCTAAAGCCCACAAAGTAAACAAATAGATGATATGTCCTAAACTGTCAGTAGTGCAGAGGGAGAGAAAAACCCTTGCAATGGTGCTAGGTAACTGTGGGCTGTCACTTTTGTGCCATAATTGATTTTCTTTCTTTAATATAATCAATTCAGATACTTAAGCCCTGATTCTGTTCTTTTGAAACAGGCCAAAGTCCCATTGTGGTCAGTCTCAATTCCCCTGTCAAGTGAACCGGGGTAGTCTCTCAATGATAAATCACAGTGAAGAAACATTTACACAATAGCCAAATTTTACTATTCCAGTATAAATGAAGAAAGATTTAATGGCTCATTTTGAATCACCATTACTTGCTGGGTAAAGTACAGGGCGTGTGCAAAATTGTCATCTTTTAAACCCACTCAATTTCACTGAAGGGTAGAATTTGGTCCTGTGCGCGCGTGTGATTCATAGTCCACAACTTAGTTCGCTCCCAACTGTATGAAACTCATGGGCACTTGTGTCAATTTAAACATGTAATGAAAGCACAGAAGATACTGGAACAATTCTATTGTCCTAATATTGTTGCAGGGCAAAAAATATCTATGTTCAACTGCTGCCTTCCATTTTCTACTCTGTTTTTTTATCAGTTCATGGTCATCTTTAATGACCCATGATTAGTGACCCATGATTTATACTTAAACACTTGCCATTTTTGGCTTGTATTTGTCCACTGTTGGAATTTATTATCGACTATTCTGGAGAACCCAATGCTGAGGTCAGGTTATTTTAAGTTAATACCATTTAAGGGATTTAGAAATCTGGGACACTTGACTTTGACTGGAATCAAACATCAGTGCTATTTGAAAAGCTGACATCTAGTGGTCAGTAAATAAAATTTGTTCTTTCCAGTGTGTTGACATATGCAGTGTTGTCTGTTCACTTTAAGCTTTTGGAATATACTTGAACTTAACTTGTTTCTTCACTTGTACCTATATGCAATGGATCTCTTTGCTCTATTCATGTAAATGTAGGGACCAATTCTGCATGATACATGTCTTCCACTTCCATTGATGTCCTGGGGAGTAGAGGGCTCTCAGGGCCTTGCGGAATTGGGCCCAAAGTTAATATCCGATTTCAAGAAACCTTTTCACTGTAGAATAATCTGAAATCTAGCAGTCCCAATGTTAGATCTTTAAGCATTTTAAATTGTCCTGCATCATATTGTTTGTACTGAAATGTACAGTTACACTTGAGATGCTCATGGAGAAAGCCAGTTGTCCTACTCAGCATATCTTCTAACAGAAATGACTTAAGATACATGGAGTTATAAAGAAGCAAAATTATTTTCTACCAACACATAGCTCACTGTTGCTCTTTGATACGCTGAAGCCTATTGTCTCCCATTGCATTGCCTACAGGTAACTGAGCACAAGTGAGTTCTAGGGTGGTTGCAGAAGTTTTGAGAACTAAAATAGTTGATGCATAGACTTTCTAAATGCATGATACCTCGTTTAAAATCATCCTCTGACATCCAATTTTAAATGAATTCTTCCCTATAATCTGTATTTTCTCTGGTCTTGGTGTAAGGTGAACCAGTACACTTTTACAAAACAAAGCGTCTTGAAAACAACATGAAACAACTCTGAAAATAAAATGAAAATCAAGAGGAAAGCAATATGGTAGAGTAACAAACTAGGGCTTTCACAGGGTGGTAGCATTAGGTTATAAATCAGGTTTGGTTTCCTCATATCTTCTTGTGGATGCTTCCATGTGGTTGAAATGTCTGTCTGGTAAAAAGAGACCCAGGATTAGATAATTATGGATACAGCAGGTTGAAATTGAAAGGCATTGCAGCAGAGCATGTCTAGGGAAGTTTTTTGTGCTGTGCCTGATTCTAGAAAGTACTATCCTATCTCTTACTTCTATGAACTCTGAACTTTCCCTTATTGGGAAGTTTAGAACTAGACAGTCCCTTCTTCCAGTGCTGTATGTAAGTGTCTAGAGAAGCCTACCAAATGAATAGGATGACTATGGTCACCATGAAAAGGTTTAATGGATGAGGAGTGAAGAGGGAGATTTGTCTCGGCAAAGTAAAATCTAAGTTTTTGGAAACTGCCTGATTAGAGACATGGGGACCAAACCTGCAGTTCTTTAGTCCTCATCCTTTATTTTATATTAAAGTTGAGCAGGTGGAAGATTGGATTGCCAGCTTGAATCCCCGTCTTTTCCATCTTTCCTTTTTACCTATTTTCTCATGGCTCAGTTTCCTTTGGAAACTTTTCATCTCATGTTTTATTCAGAAAGCTTCAGTCAGTTTGAAGTCAAAACATTGACTCCTCAGAGTTGCTGCTTCACTTCAGTATAGTTCAAATAGTACAGATTCAATCATTTTCCTTCCTGAAAATTGGAAAGGATGAAATCTGATCCTCAGCTTCAAATGGTTACATTTGTTCCAACTGTATGAAGTACCTTGATGTTTTATTACAGTAAGTAATTGCCAGCACTGTTTGTTTATAACAACACTTTCTATCTCCACAATTTCCTTCTTAAATTTCAGCATGCAGCAGATTTGGAGAAGAAACAGAATGAGACTGAAAACAGGAAACTGCTGGGAACGGTTATCCAGTATGGCAATGTTATCCAGGTATGCGGTGGCCCTGTTCACGCTGTCTACTCTGTAAGACGTAGCTCTGTAGGGTTTTACTTGAACCATCAAGGTACAATTATACTTCAAAATAGTGGAATTCCGGTATCTGAGTGTGTTGTCTTGCAAGCCATGACAGGGTTATCCAGAAGCATGGTACTCTGAAGAAAGAACTACATTTATGGTTTTGTGTGCTGTGAGAGACTCTAAAATGGAGGCATTTTTATCTTGCTATGAAAGTTGCCTTTTTAAGAGCACCATCTGAATGCTTTAAACTAGAATACCCTTCATTCATTTGTCTGGCCTTGACCTGGCCATGTGGTAGATGGCAAATACACAGTGGTGTACAATTCTGTAGAACTGCTTTCATTTTATCCTCACTTTATCCCCCAAATGCTGTACAACACCATATAGTAAACCCAGTGCAAAACAGAAGAACCAAAATACTCAACCCACCAATGCAACGATAGTCCACCCTGAACAAGGGATTTGGTGCAGCAGACCTCAGGCAAGCCACCCCTACTTGATGAAGATGGATTCCCAGCGAATGCAAAGAATAGTGATGAGTTGCAAACACCAAGAATAAGATGCTGGGGAAGTGTTGTAATAAAAATCAAGGACAAGCCTTGTCATGCCTTAAATGCAACCAGTGAGGGACTTAGGACCACCACTGGTAGAGCAATCAACAACTCAGGGTTCTCTGATCTCTTCTGGGGACTGAAAGCAGATCCACTTCATCTGATCACAACTGCCAGGTGGAGGTGTAGAGCAAGAGAACTGTAAGCATTTGGATCTACGGCTTTCTAAACAAATACTTTGAATTGTATCCTCTGACCATACCTTTGCTCCCTGCAATCCTACTCTGGCTGATGGTAACAGGGTTCCTCTCTCCCCTCTTGTAATGAGAAGGCAAGCAGTCCTGTTCTGCAGCTATTACAGCATTGGGAACAACTTCAAGACAAGTCTTTTAAAGAATTCACTACAATAATCTAGCCTAAGTGTAACATTAGAATGATGAAAGTCTGTGGCAATGTCCTCATCTGAGAGAGGGCCTATCTCTCAGTTTTTCAGGTGAACAAGAGATTGCAATAAGCATTTCTAACCAGTCAATGCTCCATACCAAGAGTAGTTGTGAGGAAAGATTAGATTTGTATCAGTAAATGTTGGTAAATATTGGCTTCACCATACACACCCAAACCAACCAAAATGTATTTCCATCGATAATAATTGAAATGTACAGATAGGCAAAGTAAGAAAAATGCTGCTAGAGAACTTATTCAAATTTGATTTAAGGCGATTAATTTTGTATGCTTTGACCTGTGATGTTGACAACTTTAACGGCTGTAAAGCTTTCATTCTTTGAATCTCAGTATCTGCTGTCATTAAACAATTATTGTCTGACCTGCCCTGTAGTTTCCCCCACTGTGAAAATTTAAATAGATAAAAATAAAAGAAAATGCTTAAAAATAAAAATTGCTATTATCCATTGAAATGTATTTTTAAAAAAAATAAAAATCAAATTCTGCCCAGCCTAATTTATGAGGAATACCCCAGTTCTGTAGGAGCCTTCCCAGTGGTAGATGTCTTATGTGAATAATGGGCCAACAGGCAGCAAAAGGCTTCCAAACATCCAAAGCTAAAAGCATTGTCTTGCTTTTGTTAAGATTCAACTCTGCTATGTTTAATCCAAATCAACATGTAAGCTAGACAATGGGGCTACTACGAGATGGTCCATTATATCCTATAGATATGTATCACCAGTGCATTGAGGTTTATATATGATGTCTCATGGCATATTGAAACAAAAGAATAAAACGGCACCTCATGGGGAGAAAAAGAATTGTTCATAGCTAACCTCAGTAGTCTCCCATCTCAGAATGAGCACAGCCATTTGAGAGAAGCCTCACCCATCCCCATGAAGGAAAACAGTTTTGTCACCAATATCTCATGGTCCTTGGTATCTGACTGCTGAAACACAGAGCATAATTGGCAAAGGCAGTTCTCTGTTGTCTATCATTAGTGTGATATGGACATTTACGCAAATGGAAGCTGTTCAGTGCCATGAACCAGTCTAAAGCCTACTAAAAAGTGTATTCAAAACAAGAAGTCCAATTGTCTCTGGATTTGTTATGGACAGCATAACTATTCAATCTTAGCATCTGAAGTTAATTTCCATGTATTATGATCAGACTCACAGACTGTTATATAGTCTTTAGTCAGTGTTTATCAAAGGAAACATATGTCTGCCTTTACAGAAACAAATTGTAATTTTTGTTCTAGCTGCTGCACTTAAAAAGTAACAAATACTTGACAGTAAATAAGAGGCTTCCAGCTCTGCTAGAGAAGAATGCTATGAGGGTGACCCTGGATGAAGCTGGAAACGAGGGTTCCTGGTTCTATATACAGCCTTTCTACAAATTGCGTTCCATAGGAGACAGTGTAAGTGCAGATGAGCATCAGCAGAAGATGCATTATTTGGTGTAAAAATACAAAGAGCTTGTATCAGTTGCTTCCTTACTTTTGACTAATTAAATGCACAGGTTTTTATAACGTGTAATATTAACGGCCACAGCCCTTTTCCTGTGCTGAACAGTGTGGGAGGAGAATCGCTATGGTAACTACTGATTTGGAAATGAGGAACGATTAAGATTGGAAGAAATAAGGAATCTAAATACAGTAGCCTTCTAAATCCCCACCGAGTTCAAAATGGCATGAAATGTTAAGTCATTTGAGTAGCTTTAGAACAAATATAATTAGTATGCTGGTTCATGGTGCTGTAGTTATGAGTCTTTCTGGTTCCATTATGAATTTCTGTATCAAGAATTTTATCAGCATTAGACTAAATGGTTGCCTTGCTTGTGGGAGGTGTGGAAGGTTGGCTGATTCTGAGTTAATACCCTAGGTTTTAATCTCTGGAGATCTCCATTGTGTTCCCACGTTGGATACATAAGAATGAATGTGGTCGTCATTCCATAATCCTAAGTAAATGATTTTCTACTTCACAAAGCCATGATGGACGTTGGCATGCCTCATCAGCCTAAACTCAAGAGAAGCCAAGGACTTCTGTATGCTGTGCGGTGCAGTCTAGTCCAACCTGATAGAGGGCACCTAAACAGAGTAGATTCCATGAAATAGAGCATAGCCATATCCATGTAGACTAGACTGTTCACTTCACTATAAATATATGGAGATATACCTATCGCATAGAACTGGAAGGGACCCTGAAAGTTCAGCCCCCTGCCTTCACTAGCAGGACCAAGTACTGATTTTGCCCCAGATTCCCTAGATGGCCCTCTGGGGGATTGAACTCACAACCCTGGGTTTAGCAGGCCAATGCTCAAACCACTGAGCTATCCCTCCCTGCACCACTACACATAATAGTTATCCCACCACTACACGTAATACAGCCTTAACTGAATGTCCTTGTTTTTATTTCATTATTACAGGAATAGTACCTTGAAGATTCATGTAGTTTGTGTTCAGTTAATTTAAAAAGAAGAAACGTCATATAAATTCAATTAATGTTCTGCTTTCTCTGTATTGAGAGGAATTCAAGTCCCTCACCTAAGATTTTTGTTATGGATTTTTTTGGGGGGGGGGTGTGTGGGAAGAGTGAGGTCTTCAAGCAAGATTGGGGGGCTTTGGATAAGAAACTGCCTTGGAAGGAAAGTATAGGATACATGGGATCTTCACCCTCCATGATAAAGTGCACTTAGCTTACCACACTTGATTGGACCTCATTAATTGAGAGTAAACATTGTAGGTTAGAACCCATCAACTCCTCATGGAGGAGGAGAATCTTTCTGATGACTTTCGGTTTTAGGAATTAATTGTTAGATGTTAGACACTGAAATAACTGTATGGAAGATAAAGACTTAGTCAGTGGAAATTGTAGTTTTCCTTTATATGCCACTCAGCCCAGTTGTGTAGGTGTCTTTAAACCTTAAATAACTCAGAATGTTTTAAACATCCATTTTCTTCTGAAGTTGTCAAGGTGGTTTTTTTTTTTTTTTTTTTTTAAGATACTAGTGTCTTTCCTTTATTTTGCATGAAACATCTCTAAACTGTAAGCAAATGGTCTAACCTCATTGCTTATACCCAGACAAAGGTAACTCTGGGGACCATTTCTGAATCTGATTGCAAAGTACTTCTCTTCAGGTTGTCATTGGAGACAAGGTGGTCCTGAATCCTGTTAATGCTGGCCAGCCCCTTCATGCCAGTAGTCACCAACTGGTTGATAATCCTGGGTGCAATGAGGTAAGTGTAAAATAAATCAAAAGCTTGGCCTGTTAGTGTAGTGGTGACACAGAAATTTGGTGTAAATAGAGTTGGAAGGGGCCTTTGGCGTTCTCGGCTAAACTAAGGAGCACGCATGTTATGGAATTGCCAATTACCATGCTGGAGAGCATATACTGCATTGCTGTCCCATCCTGTTAGTGAAGTAGCAATACTACTAGCTCTGGAGACAAGGTTTCTCGCTTCCTTCCTAGTGGGCAAACAGCTGGGCGGGGATTGGTAAGAGCAGGTCTGTTAGGTAAATAACAGGCTATCTGGAACAAAGACGTGAGCGTTGCCTGTTCTGCCCAACTGCTTGGCTGTAAGAACAGAGATAAGTGAAATGTACTTTTTCTGCAAAATCTGCCATCCTCATGACTGGAGCTAGGTGAATAACTAACTGATTTGTTTTTGTTTGTTGTCAGTTTCGTGGCAGTTCTGAAAAATTAAAAAAAAAAAAAAAAAAAGTTTTCGGTCAAACAAATTCTGAAATGTTTTTGGTGAAATGACCCTGTTTAATCAATCTGAAAGAATGTTGAGAGCAGAAACCTGGGTTCAAATCCCTGTTCAGAGAAGAGATTCAAACCTGGGTCTTCCCCATCCCAGGAGTGCCCGAACCACCAAGCCAGGGTATTCTGGGTCAGGTCAGGTGTCTCTCAATCTCTCCTGTTGAAGCTGGTTCACTAGTCATTGTGTCAGAGAGAGAGTGAGAATGGTTAGGGCACTTGCCTGGGATGTGGGAGACCCTAATTCAAGTCGTTGCTCAAATAAATAACTACTACTTACGTAGAATGGAACAGTTCAAGGGGACAGATTGCCTATAGCAGTGGTCCCCAAACTGTGGGGCATCCCCCCCCCCAAGGTGCAGAGGGGCCTGGACCAGCACCCATGAGGGGACAGGGAGGTAGTGCCACCCAGCCTCACTCTGCCCCCAGCCCCTGCCCTGGCTGCAGCCCTGCTCCGGGCTTGGGCCGCTGCCCTCAGCCTACGTCCCCCTGCTCTTGGCTCCCGGCTCGGGGGGGAGGAGAGGGGCACGGCCACATTCTACTACTGGTGAGGGGGAGGTGAATGCGAGAGGATAAGTTTGGGGACCACTGGCCTATAGTCTGGTCGTTAAAGCACTCAACTGGGAAAGGAGAGATTAAGGTTCAATTCTCTGCTCCAGAGTGAGAATTTGAACCTGGGTCTCCTACATCCCTGGGGAGTGTCCTAGACAGTGGGCTAAAGGTTTACAAGGGGGGAACCACATCCACTTCTTTTGTTTCTGTGATTCTAGCCTGTTTTTTTTTTTTTCCTGGTCAAAATTATTTGGTTAATTGGTGTCAGATTTATGAATAGTTTTGGGTCAATCAAGACTGCCTTTTTTGGAGAATAAATTATTTGTCTGAAAAGTGTCACCCAGCTCTATTCTTGACCATAGCCAGATAAGGTATCCACGTAACAAGTTAGGTACTAACGTTAACTATAGTTACTGTGATTTACCGCAGGGTTGAGTGCAGGCCACAGTCTTTCTGGATTGGTGTTTCATTTCATACAGTAATAAACAGGGATTGCAGTATACTGTTCAGATTCTCTTTCCACTGTAAAGAAAAGGGCAGCACTTTGCAGTGCTTTATCCTACTTCTAGTGTGACCAGTGATACTAGTCTTTGTTCTAGGTCAACTCGGTGAACTGCAACACAAGCTGGAAAATAGTCCTTTTCATGAAATGGAGCGATAACAAAGATGATATTTTAAAAGGGGTAAGTCTGGAAACTCATCTTGCCGCTGGCTTTTTAATAGTGCGATGTCTGTATTGTCTAGTTCGTGTTGATCCTTCTGTCTTGGCTTTGACAGGGAGATGTGGTACGGTTGTTTCATGCGGAGCAGGAGAAGTTTCTGACTTGCGATGAGCACAGAAAGAAGCAGCATGTCTTCCTGAGAACTACGGGGAGACAGTCGGCCACTTCTGCAACTAGTTCAAAAGCACTGTGGGAAGTCGAGGTAAGGACAGCATCTCTGAGGCTGTACAAGTGGTTTTATTGTAACAATCGGTGCTTTTATTTAAAACCTTGCTCCACAAGATTTTTTTTTTTTTTTTAAAGTAAGACTTCTTTCCAGGTTTTGAAGTTTCAAGACCAAAAAAATGCCATTGTTTACTAGCATGTCTGGATATTTTTTACAATATAAAAACATGGTTTTGACTTTTTAACACAGCAGCAAGGTGCTTTCCAACTACCAGTTGCTGGCAATGTAGAAAAAAAGAATGAGAGGGGCATCAATAAACGCCTTATTTACTCATAAGAACATAAGAACGGCCGTACTGGGTCAGACCAAAGGTCCATCCAGCCCAGTATCCTGTCTACCGACAGTGGCCAATGCCAGGTGCCCCAGAGGGAGTGAACCTAACAGGTAATGAAGAAGTGATCTCTCTCCTGCCATCCATCTCCACCCTCTGACAGAGGCTCACCAACCATTCCTATTCTAACAAAGTACTAATTATTTCTACTGCCTTGCTGTATATGCTGAACACATCCATGTCCAGTGTGGAATTCTATAGGTACACACAACCTCCTCTGATGGGAGATTAAACCCGTTTGTTAGTCTCTGTCTCTGTGGAATCAAACCATCTCATTAGCGTCTTAATTTTAAAAAGAGAGAGAGAGAGAAGGATGACTTCAGTGTCTTGGCCAACATTTCACCTATTAAACAAACAAACAAAACTTTGAGATGCTTAGGTTCTGGAAATAGATACATATGCTTACGATAATTTTTTTGTTTTAAAATGTAACTTTAAATGACATGCAGCCTGCCTGTGTGAACACTACAAGTCCCTCTGAGTGGAGGACAGTTATTTTTCCCAGCAGTGCAGCCACTTAATTCAAAGATTCTTTCAGCTGTGCTCCAGCTGGGAACCTGTCTAGAGTCCTAGTTCCATACTTTTTCTTGGGAGGAGCGTGAGCATTAATACGGAGCTCTAGAAAACTCCCTTTTTTGGGAAAACACTGTTAAGTTTGAAACAATTCTACTGTTTTTTTTTTTTTTTTTCTTGAGACTAAAGTGACTATCAGGGAAAACAAGAGAATCTTGCCTGACTTTTAGTAAGTTTGTTCAATCCTTCTGGTTCAGCCCAATACAAGCGTCCAAAAAACCTCCTTTTACTACCTTTCTGCGACTATATCCCATTAGCCCTTTGTCTTCATTCTCAGGAGGCTCAACATAGAGCACAAAACCATAGTCGGTTTGTTAGCCAAACCATAGTCGGTTTGTTAGCCA